TTCCCGACGAATTTTTTAACGTTTAAAATTCTTGTAGTGTCTAAAGGACATAACAGTCTTTTAGCTTAAAAAACAAATATAAACAAAAGAATTTGGTTTTGGAAATTGATAAGTAATTATGCATTATGGAAATTCAAATTTAGTTGGGGTTACTTTTTCAATTAGCTTATATTTTGAACAATACAAGTTAAAGACCGATTTTTTTTTAATAATGCTAATTCCCAAACTTATTCCACATATACGCGACATCAAAACTATTTCCAAGAATAATGCTTGAAAAGTAGTACGTCGTCAAGAGACGACCTGTGAAGTGGCACACGTTGGTCGTATCTTGAGAGCGAGCGTGACGCTTGTCTGTTTTTGAATGACGTGGCCCACCACGTAATTTTCCGTTTTTTTTTTAATTTTTGTAGTACACAGGTTTTTTAAAACCCGCCTGGTCTCTTGAAGAGACGACCAATATGGCATGGGCGCCTTGGTTGTCTCTTGAGAGACGCCTTGGGTTAGGATTTTTAAAAGTACCCTAACCCAGCCGCCCCATCCATCCACATCTTGTTCTCTCCCTCCAGATCACTGTCGCTCCTCATCTCTTCGTTCACCGTGCCGATCACCACTGCATCCCTCCGACCACTGATCACCGCTGCACGGTATGCTGATCTAAATATTTCATTGTACCATAAAATTAATTCTTTTAATATAGTCACAACTTTACAAACTTAAAGTTTTATTGTAGGTGGAGAGATCAATTTTCTGTCACAGAATTATCGACACATGTTTTCGTTCAGTACAGATACATGTTGGATCTTCTGACACGGGGATCGATAAATATTTAAAATTATAAATATAAGTTGATTAACTTTTAATATGATATTTTTACATAAACATTTCAGATGATTTCGGAACCATACAATAAGGAATTTGCATCCCTACCAGATTACTACAACAATGTACATGAGATATGGTGCACACTAAGTCCACACATTTGTTTTCATGTAGTTGATTGACATCATCTAGATAGAGTTTCAAGATAGTTTGGTATAAAACAACCAATTCCAGATGTTCCTAGTTGGGACCCAAAGATACATGACATAGACCTTAGGCACCGGGCATAGCAGGACCATACGACACCTTATGTGGCTAGGTGGCGCCTGCGTAAAGATTATATTGCTACTAATCCTCCAGTGGACGGTGATGGTAATTGCAATCCCGGATACATGAGTTGGTATTTGTCAATTACTAGACGTTATACCACTCAAGTGTCTGGTGCTACGGTATGTTTTTTAATTTGGCTTTACAAACTATTTGAATTTAAACATATATTTATCTTAATTTTTTTCCATGCAGATTGCATGTTATGAACAAATTAGTATTCTCTCATCTTCAAAGGCTTCATCAGTTGTATAGAGTACCTACACCTACTCACGACCCCAGACGTAGAGAACATTGTCAATTAAAGCATGATGCTCCAAACGAGCCTAACATTCCTGAACGTGAAGTTATATATCATAATGTGGATGACGTTCCACATTTTACACAGACACAGGATGACGACGGCTCATCCACGCCTATGGTTATGATACCGACTCTTGGTTCGAGTCAGGTTCACACAGTAGTATAGTATGGTTATGAGGGTCACGGATGTGGTCGTGGAGAGTATGGACAATACCTCAACCGTATCGAGGATCAACAAACACTAGAGGCACTGAGAGCTCATCATCGACAGCCACATAGTCATCAACAACCTCCCTCATGTGGGATACATTAGATAGATTGATAGACTTTAATGCCTAATTTTGACTATTCAACTATACCTTTTAGATATTAATTAATATTTTATTCACATGTCAAATATTATTTTATAATCTAGTATTGAAATAGTATTAATAAAATAAGAATATTATTTTCTAATTAAAATATGGTTGTTAACAAAATTAAACCTTTAAATATTAAATATATTTAAAATAAATATGGCAAATAACTTAAGAAGCAATTTTTTTTTTTAAAATCAATAAACCTAACAAAGAGACGACATGTGAGGTGTTAAAAAAAAATGTAACTTGAGACGACGAGGCGGTTTTTTGAAAAAACCTGCGTAGCATGTCGTCTCTTGCTACGTAATTTTAAAAAAAAAAAAGGAAAATTACGTGGCCGTCGTTTAAAAATGGACTTGGTCATCTCTCACCTCCTACTTTCCAAGCATTATTCTTGGAAATAGTTCGGGATGTGGCATATATGTGGAATAAGTTTGGGAATTAGCATTATTAAAAAAATCCAGTTAAAGATAACATATTTTCGGTCTTAAAAATCGATTTTACAGATGAGGTATGTTTTATTTTTGGTTTATGGTAGAAACTTGAGGAAGAATTTGTTGGGGCTGTTGAAGAAAGAAGATGAAAAATAATGAGGGTCGAGCTTATGAGTTTTCTTAAGGGGATTGAAGATGTAAATCAAGCGAAAAGAGGTTTCTTGGTTGAGAAAAAGAAAGAAAATAGAGAGGAGGAAGGAAGAAGAAAAGGTAGAGAAAGGGAGGAAATTCGTAGTTTTGAAGGGATAAGAAAGAAGAAGAGTGGGCTGTTGATGGAAGAGAGAGAAATAAATTTGTAGTTTAAAATTAAGTAAGAAAGGGAAAAAAATGATTAAAGGAAAAAAAGATTGACGTGGATTTTGGAGAGGAGAAGAAATTGAATGGTTTATTGTGGGACTCACTTGTAAGGTAGTAGGAAAGTGAAGAAGTGATGGTTTTAAATGAAGAGAGAATGTGTTATGAAATTGGATAGTTAATTTTTATTTTGGAGATGTTATGGTTTGTTGTGGAATTAAGAAATTAGTACACGTTGAGTTAATTTTGTTATTGGATTGATATATTTCAGGTCAAATGGAAATTGGAGCATCGTACAACCCATTTACACCTTGTTCATAAGTTTTGTGAGTGGTTACTTTATTAAAGGTTTTAAATATTATTGTTGATCTGTGAGTAGTTATTTTGTGAAATGTTTTTAAGATATCCATTATTATAGAATTTCAAGAAATTATATATTATGTATGATTTAGAAAGAAAGTAATTGTGTTTCTTTGAGAATTTTAGAAATGTGTCATAATTTCTTAGAAATGTTGAGAAAGTTACGAAATATATATTTAGAAAGAAATTTCAGAAATGATTTTAGAGTTTTATGAAATATTGTTTAGAAAGAAAGATTTTAAAAATGATTTGAGAAAATTAGACAAGTTCTTAGAAATAAGAAAGAAGAATTTTAGAATAGTTTCTGATTAACTGTATGCTATATGAATGTGTTTTTATAGTATACCTAGGTCTTTGGGACCATTTGACTCCGCATGTTGAGAGAATTATTCTGCTGTGTTTATTGAGGTTACTCTGCGCCAGTAAACCAAAATAGAATATGGGTACATGTATGGTGTGAAGTTTTCTCTAGTCTATTTTATGTTTGAAAAAAATTGTGTTATGTGTGTTTTAGAATGTGCTTTTAGGGCAGGTCGAGAAGTTGGCGTAACTAGGTTGCAAGGGACGCACGGGAATGTTGGAGCGATTAGGACCAAATCCGGATTTCAAATCCTTATCCGAATCCTGAACTTGGAAGCCTTGCTTGTTGGTTTGTTTAAAAGTATTATTACAAGTTTATTATGAGAAAGTGAGTTTTTATGAAGTTTATTGTATTACTTGAGTTTTATAACGTTTTTAAGAGCTTAATTCCAGTTGTTTATGAAAGAAGTTTTATAAGTTTATTTTCCTATTAACTTACACCTCACTAAGTTTTCCAACTCACTCTTTATCTTTTATTTTCTCCCCAAATTGTACCTGACTTTCAAGGGAGAAAGTAGATCAGCTTGTGCTACCTAGATTAGTTCAAGAGTTGCATATCATTTTGTATATATATGTAGTTGTATTTGTAAAGAGTTTTATATTTATACCAGGTTGACATAATAGAATGTTTAGAATGAATGTAAGAATGGTTGTTCTGTAAACATTATTATTTCATTGTACATCCATTCAAAGTTTATTAGTGAAAGATCAAGTAAGAATTAAAAGAAGTTACCATAAACTCTGTAGTTAGTTTGGAGTATGTGGTCGGTACGACAGGACTAATAGGTGTTTTGTGGTGAGTCGTATCATTAATATATATTTATTACACTATTTTTATTTTTTCTATTTACAAAAATAATTAAAATTAATTATAAAACTGGTAATTTTTGGTGCGAATATCCCCTTTTGCAAATAAGGATTCTTTAACATGGATCTCTCTTCTCGAGCCGAAAAACGAGGTGGAGATGGGAGACTAAAAATTTTCACGAACACGAGAATGGGAGATGCGATCCTTACTCCCGCCCCACACTATTGTGATATCTACCTACATCGATTTTTCCCTCTTTAATATTATTTTTAATTTTCTAACTTTTTAAAAACAGAAAACTAAAAATGGTCACCAACATTTTGGTTTTTTGTTTTTTAAAAACAAAAAATAAAAAAATAGTTACGAAACTTATATGATTTTTGTTTATAAAAAATAGAAAACTAAAAACTAAAAATAGAAAAATAAAAAACAAAATAGAAATGGCTATCAAACAATTATTGTTAGACTGTTAGACGTGAGATTTTTTCTCTTCTAATGTTTCTAAATTTCAATACTGCTTTTTAAATCTCAAACACTATATAAGAATAAAATTTAAGTGAAGGGCAAAAATGTAATTTCAGAAAAACAAATATAGAGAGTTTTATAATTCAAGTTGCATGTGCCACTTGCCGTGGCTGTCAGCTTGGAAGTTTCAATCTTTATTTCGTGGGAATTTATATTTATCATCTAGTCAACTCATATCGTAGAAATAGAATTAAAATAAAAGGGAAATAGAAAATTGGAAAATGTACTGAACTATCATTATCGTTATTTTATTCAGCCTCCTAGTTTGACTTGTAAGACGCGTACAATGATTGATGGAAAATAATAATAAAAGACCAGCAGGTGCAGTTCATCCCCCATTATATCAATTTGTTTAACTTCAAAAGTTGAAAGAAACAAAAGGCAAAAGAAAAAGAAAGAATGGATCCAAGGCTTTTCGAGGCAGTGAGATGGAAGGACATGAGGAGTTTTATGAATGTGGTGGGGAAGAATGTGGAAATTCTGAAGCAGAAATCAGAAGTGACCGGCGACACGGCGCTGCACTTGGCGGTGAGGAACGGCCGCGGCTTCATGGTGAAGAAGATCCTGAAGCTCTGGCCGGAAGCTGCGGCGGAGGAGAATCTGAAGAAGGAGACTCCATTCCACGAAGCTTGTAAGGAGGGAGAGGCGGAAATCTTGATGCTACTTCTGGAGATGAATCCGCGGCTCAGCTCTGAACTCGGCCATCAAAGTCACAGCCTCATGTTCTCGGCCTGCAGCCATGGTCACTTGGATGTTGTCAAGATCCTTTTCAAACAGCCCTGGCTTCGAAATTTAGACCCCGCAGCTTGTTTTCTCGAGGCTGCCTCTAAAGGACACCTAGGTAATTTCCAATTCTAGTAATGTCTTAAACTACAACTTTGGATCATGATCATTTGTTCAACTTTTTAATTTCTTAACACAAAGAAAAATTTTGGTCTGAAATTTTGGAAAAGTATGTTCTACTAGTGATCCCCATACTAAAACTCTCCATTGACCGAGAGTCCAATCCCATTTGGGCGTCTCTCGAAGTGAATTTCTTCATTCATTATGAATTGTATTTTAACATAGAGCTTTAGCAGAAGGTTGGGATGGGCTGCAATTGTAGTGTCATTCTAAAATTTGTCACTTTTCATTCAAAATAATAATGGATGCTTGCTGATATGGCATGTTTCATACATATTTTATTAAAGGGGTAGCGTTGGAAACTAATTTTGAAAGAATAAGGGTAAATTGTGAAACTAATGACAAAATTTAAGGGAGTTTATTTTTCAATGTTGGAATGAAAACATGGGAATTTGTGTGTTTTTACTTTTTAGTCTCTTTTGTTGTAAAAGTAGAGCAGAAAATTTAGTAAAAGGTGATGGTTGGTGCAAATGCAGGTGTGGTTAAAGAAATATTAGGGAAGTTCCCAAAAGTGGCTCGAAAGGTGGACGATAACGGGTTTTCTGGTCTGCACAAAGCTTGTATCGGCGGCCATGTGGACGTAGTGGGCTATCTGTTGGATCAACGTCCTCAATTGGCTCGCCAATTCACAAACTTTGGGTATACGCCGTTGCACTTGGTTGCTATAAACGGCAACACTCCCATTCTTCAATTATTTATGGACCTTTCTCCACTCTCCTTATTGGATCTTACGAAACAGGGAGACCCAATTCCTCATCTCACCATTCGGTATGACCAATTCCCTACTTTTCTACACTTGGCTGAAACCTTCCAAACACATGAATCATTCTTCAATTCTGTTGACCTTCATGGGAATACTCTTTTACATGTTGCAGCACTGTGTGGACGACTTCAGGTAAAACAAAAATCCTCTCTTTCTCTACTTTCTTCACATATGAACTCATCAATACATAATTATATACTAACTGAGAATGTAATCAAGTCTGGTTTCTAATACATTTCTGATGTGGGTTTGCCTTTTTAATTAATATGTTGCAGTTTGTAGAATTCTTGATCAATAAAATGAAGATGTGGATAAATTGTCAGAACGAGGAAGGGTTGACAGCCCTTGACATGCTCGACAACCTTGCCGTTAATGGTACTGAGGAGTTCCAAACTCTTGAGGACATGTTAAAAAATGCCGGCGGAAAGAGAAAAATAGAACTGACAGATTCCAAAATTATTGTTCCAACCAGCGAGAAAGGGGAATGGATTCAAGAATGGATTAATTCTTTGGATCCAAATGTATTGGAGGAGGATCATTTGCAGAAGAGCATTGACCTAGATCATGATAAGAAGGAAGAAGAAAAGAAGATTCATTCTTTGGATCCAAATTTATTGGAAGAGGATGGTTTGCAGAAGATTGACTTAGATCATGGTAAGAAGGAAGAAGAAAAGGAGATCCATTCTCCGGATCCAAATTTGCTGAAGGATGGATTGCAGAAGATAGACTTAGATCATGATAAGAAGGAAGAAGAAAGGATTGACATTAACAATTTGAGGAGCAATAGTGTTATCCATGCTAATGATGAACAAGTTGATCAAGCAGAGAAAAAATATGGGTCTGTACTTCCAAACAACTTGGAGAGGCAAAAGCATCTCAGCCAAAAGAGGCGGAAAGTGCTAAAAAGCAAAATGGACGAGAATCGTTCTCGGCGAGAAAAGCAACACGATATGTATAAGGAAGCACTGCAAAATGCAAGAAACACAGTTACCTTAGTTGCAGCTTTGATTGCTACAATTACATTTTCTGTGGGGATAAACCCTCCTGGTGGGGTTCACCAAGACGGCCCGCTGATTGGAAAAGCAGTATTCGCCAAAGCAAAAGGCTACAAGGTATTCATAATAAGCAATAGCATTGCAATGACCACGTCGCTATGCATCATGATCGTTTTAGTGAGCATCATCCCTTTCAGAAAAAAATTACTACTACGACTTCTTAAGATTACTCATAAAGTGTTGTGGGTGTCTCTAGCATTCATGGCGACGGCTTTCACTTCGGCCACATGGCTCACCTTACCGCAAGATTACAAAACCAATTGGCTTCCTATTGCGATATTGGCGGTGGTGGGAGGGACTATGGGTACACTTTTCATTTATTTGGGAGTAGAGTTGGTAAAGCATTGGATGAGAAAGCTCAAGTGGAGAAGGGAGAGAGTCAAGCCAAATGTTCCGGTCCGCGACAATATTTCCGACGGTAATTCCGACCATCAATCCACAGATGATCTATCGTCCAATAAAGCTAATTCAGACATAGAACGACGTGATCTAAGAAAGCTCTATTCATTCTCTACTAATTCTGATGTTGCCAGTTCTAGAGGTCTAGGTGGTCATGTATATTAAAGATATGTTTGAGAGTGTTTCCATACCGAGTGATTTAATTAATTAAAAATAGTTTTGTAAAATATTTATTAAATTTGTTTTTTACTATTTGGTTCTACTTTTTGAAGAAGTGATTTGAATGATTAATATGTTGGATTTGAGATCAATAATCAGATTACTCAGAATTACCCCAACGTTTCACAAAATGTTCTCCCAAAATGATTGACAACAAATCACTTTGACTCTTCGAGTAGATATATAATCTATAAGACACTTGTTGTAATTTAAACTAAGATTTGTTGAATAAAACCCTCCAAATTCAAGGGCGAGCATTGCAACTTAATCAAAATCATATAAATTTCCTATGAGGGATTGAGCAAAACTCACCTAAAATGCATATACTGCCGAGACAGGTGCTAAAGTTTCATTTTGTTCTACTTTTTAATTTCTTTAACACACAAGAAAAATTTGTTGAAATTTTGGAAAAGTGTGTTCTCCTGATCCCCGGGCTAAAACTTATCTCCATCCACAGAGAGCCAACCCCTCCCCCTCCCTTCTTTGGCCATCTTCTCAAACTCTTCAACATCTTCGTTAGAATACTCGCGAGAGACGTCGGAATGCCTTTGATCTAGACTCGATCATGATCGACTTAAGCTATAGGCGAGCGAGGCGACAGCCTATGACTCCGTTCTAGGAAGGCCTCATATTTTTCATATAATATATAATATTGGTATCTATTTAATTTAGTTGTTAATTATTAATTAAATTTAAAAATATAAAAAAAAATATTTATTACTTTTCATATTTTTTTTTGCAATATTGAAAAAATACACACTACTAAAAAAACCCACAATTAATATGCTCATGAATTTATTTCAATTTTGATGGATTTACCTTTCAAATTGGTTAACCTTAATCTTTTTATTCATATTCCTTTCAAATTTTCTTAAAAATCTCAACTCATTAATACAAGCTCTCGAAATTCTCCTTTGGAGAATGGCAAACCTTCAATATTTCATTATTTTATTTATTTTTTTCCCCACCAAAACTTTTCAACTTCTCTAAAAAAAATTTTCATAAATATATTACTTAATTTCACTAATTTAAGTTTAAACTCTCCCCTCTCTCCTAATTTAAATTTAAATTATCATCTCTCTCCGTCAAGAACTCTCCCCTTCTTCCACTCTTTCAATCTCTCTAAAACCTTAAATTTTCATCCTGATCTTCTATGTGGTCACACAAGATTATCAATTGCTAGAGTAGAAATCGAAACTACTTATTTCCTCCACTCAATTAATGGCTTCAAAGTTTCACGTTTTTCGTTCAAATTATTTTACTTTTTTTTAGGCATTTCGTCCAAATTCTTTTATTATTATTTTTTATATATAAATGATTTGATATTGTTGATGGTTCAAAACCTAATATCTAAGATTTGTTTAGATTTAATTACTTAGAACACCAATATGCAAAATATGAATCTGAATATAAAAAGCTTAAGAAGAAAATAAGAGTAGAAAAACTGATTGAATTTGCTCTCGATAAATTTGTTATTGGAATTAAACGTAAATAAAAATGTTAAACTAATAAAAGAAATGATAGGTATAGACAAATAAGAGATCAAAGAAAAATAGTAGATGATGATATTACTGTTGGAAATGAAGTATCCAATAATGAAAAAAAACTAGAGAGGAAGTATAGAGAAAATGAATTTACTGCTATGATTTGAGCTAAGAAAATTACAAATGATGTAGAAATAGAACCAATATTTTGTGAAAAAAGAAGAAAAAAAACAATTTGATGAGAATATTGATATTGAAGAAACACGATCACTACAAGATTCTTTTAGAATTGATTACTTTTACTATATTATAGATCCAGCAATTTATTCATTTAAAAATAGATTTGAACAAAATTTTATGTATATGAAAATATCTTTTAACTTCTTATTTGATATGAAATTTTGTAAGTCATTAAGATGATGATCATCTGAAAACATATTGTATTCATATTGAAAATACATTAACACATGATACATTTTCGGACATTAGCAGTTTAGATTTATTTTTTGAATTAAAAATATTAAGAGAGGTCTTGCAAAATCAAATTGATTGTACTATTGAAATATTAAATTATATTATAAAAAAAAGTTAAACATTTCTTCAAATGCATATATTGCTTATAGAATATTATTAAACAATACCGGTAACAGTTGCTTCCACTAAAAGAAGCTTTTCAAAATTAAAATTGATGAAATCGTATTTAAGGTCAACTTTGTCACAAGAAAAATTAAATGGATTGGTCATATTGTATGAACTTAGGTTATCAAAATTTAATACATAATTTTACATCTCCAAAACTAAGAAAAATAAATTTTAGATGATATTTTCTACCATAAGGCCTCCCAATCAAAGTTTTGTCTAAGGTCCCGTATCATTTCGAGTCACTCGTGGACTCGATGCCTTCGAACATCAATCCATAATCCAACTTTCAACCTCCCTCAATGGAGATTTTGCCTTAGAGAAGAATTTCATTCATTATAAACTTTATTTTTAAGGCAAGGTTGGAGAGGTCTAACAGAAGGAGGAATGAACTCTTTGGAGAGTGAATTGTTACATCGTTTCAGTTCATTGTGTCAAGTCAATATTTTGTTCAAAATATTAACGAAGGTTTATTTAAAAGATATTTTTCATACCTATGTTTTGTGTTGGAATTGTTGGGTGTGTAAACAAATCTCACATTATTTAGATAATGAGGTGGGTGATCCACTGAAAAACTGACACCCAAAAAGTTTATGGATTTTAATAATTGACTTAACATTTGAAAACATTATTCTTTAAATCTAAAAAACTTTTTTTTTACATGTTAGTGTAGGTGAAAATACAAAATTGTTATTAATTTAATGAAAAATTTTTAAGTCTGGAGCACAAAACAGAGCTAAAGCTCCAAAACTCGCCTGAATTTTTATGAAAAATTTGCACCAAACTATTGATTCAAGGGCAAATTTTCGTGGGAATCTCATGCAAGATCAACACTTATAAATATATATTAATTGTCATATTCTACATAAATTTATCTAGGGGTGTAAGTATTCAAACCGAACCGGACCGATTTAATTCGGTTAAAAAATGAAAATCAAATCCATACTATTGATTCAAGGGCAAATTTTCCTCAGTGGTTGCGTCGTCCTTCTCTCTCCCCCTCCCTCCCATCCTCTCCATCACAAAATACTTTCCTCCTCAACAATGAGGAGGAACATTGTTCTCCTCACCGTTAAATATATTTGACAACTAAGAACAACAAATGTAAAAACATAATTTTTTTTAAATAATAATGAGTTGTTGTGGTGAGGAGGTTAACGTAATGGGGAGGAAGCAAGTATTTTCCCTCTCCAAATGTGTCTTCTTTTCCGAATGCATCTCCATCCCTCCCTCCCAAATGCGTCATTAAGAAAAACAACCACGACGGTGGTGTCAAAGGAGATGTGCGGCCATGATGGCGACGACAACCTCCCTATGCACCAACGAGCCAATACTACGACGGAGCGACAAGCCACATACTCAACAACGTCTCTGTCTGAACTGTGGAATCGAAACACACTAGAATAACTTCAAACACTGGATCTGCAGATCTACGTGTATTCAAAAATGCAGGTCTTCTTCAATCAGGTTCTCAAACCAATCAGGGAACTTCAAAAGACCAAACGATTGAATCCCAAACTATTTCTGGCGGAACCTTCCGAGTTTTTAGAGAAAAACCACGCTGCATTTTTGCGAGATTTTGAAACTTATTGTTTCAAAGCGGCGAAAACTCTCGCGAAATTCCCACGGCGAAACCTCGAGATACTTTTCACTTGTCTTCTGCGAGTCTGAGACCTTACTTCTGCGACTACTCGACTTTTGCAAGTCCTTATCTCGACAAAATCTCCTTAAAGTCTCCTCGAGATCAGAGTCTATTCTAAAATAAATAAAAAAACCCACCCAACGCCCTCTCATGGATTGAGTTACATAGTGCCACCCAGGTTTGGACCAGATGATTCTCATCTTGAAGTGGGTTCTTTTTGGCTTTTCATAGAGGTCGATTTTGAAGAAGAAGATTTGATTTTTGTAGATTTCGATAGAAAGAAGATCTGAAGTAGGTTTTTGTGGAATTTCATGGATAGATCTTAATAAGAAAATTAAAAATAGAAGTGGGTTTCAAAAATCACAATCACCATCTGTTTTTAAACACTAATTTTGTGGGCATCCTTAAAATTTCACAGTGGATTTTGATTTTGAAGTGAGACTTGACGGATGAAGAAGAAAAATCTAAAAAATCCATGGTCCATGGTCCATTAAAAAAAAAACAAAAAAAAAACATTTTAAAAACTGATATTGACCAAACCCGAACGGACTTGAATTTGGTGCGGAAACCGACCTGACCTGAAATTATTACACCTCTAAATTTATCTTTGTCGCGGCTGTCAACTTGGAAATTGGAATTATTTGTCCATTATTATTTTGTTCGGTGAAAATTAAGGTTTATCAAGTCCTTAACCAAGTCTCTGGTGTCCTCCTGTACTTTTCTGCAGTGTGCGGTTGGTTCAATATTACGTCGGTTCAAACTTGAACCGATTTAAGATGTAAAAAAACTACTAATTATTATAAAAGAAAATGGTCTCCCTATTTTTCAGAGCATCACCCCACCCTCCGCGCCATCTCATTTTTGTCCGCCCCGTAAGCTCGAAAAGCCCAAGCAACAGTCCGGTGTCGAATTGGTGCACAAAACTTGCTCTCCAATCTTCCTCCACGAAACTCTTAATCTTCCCCATGATCGCACGATTGAGTAATTATGACCTTCGCATTTGTTACTTCTGCCTGCTTCACAATGTTGGAGGCCATGAAAGAAAGTAGGTGATGATTTAGAATGGAGAGACAAGTATTGAGAGAAATTTCCAATTAGATTGATGATTTCACTTTTTGCAAATAATGCAGTAAGAGTCAGTATTATCTTATTTTTTGCTGTGCCATTTTTCCTTGTCCCGTTGATCATGTTGCCCATCTTCTTTTGCGCAGGATTCCACTATTTTTTATGATTAGACTTGAACGTCCCTTTTTTTTTTTGCAAAATTTAGCTTGGTAT